AGCCACCCGAATTATCCAATTGCCCACTAGTGGGGGGAGGAGATCCTGCTCAGATTGCAAGCACTGTCTTATATGGGTTGTTGTCAAATAGGTAGCTATAGCAGAAATTTACAGGTACACCATTGTCTGTGCCGTTGGTGATGGGAGGAAAGACTATTCCATGGAAAAATGATAGAATGGATACCAATGAAGAGCTTGTCATATCTTAAACCATTTACTCTACCTGCTGACGTAATTGCCCGCGACCTCCCCAGGTGTGTTTGCGCTGACTAAAACCAGCCTGGAGTTGACTCCGCTGTATGGTCAGCTGATGGACATCAATGTGAGCCTGAACAGCTCCTCACCCCCTGGCTCAACATCTGCATCTCTGACCTCAGCTGCAGCCGCAGCAGCTGTTCCGAGCTCTTCCTCTGGCCCGCCATCAGCTCCCACACAGACGGGTACGTGGAGGGAATAGGCTGCGTCTAGGTGCATCTCTTTCTTTGGAGCGAGTTCAACCCTTCTTTTTACCCTTTTCCCTTTCGTTGCTTTTTTTTCCTTAAAAAAAACCCAACAAATTTATTCAACCCCTCCCCTGCTCCCTCTCCAATGCTCCCCCTCCCCTGCTCCCCTCTCCCATTCCTCTTTCCTACTACCCTCCCCCCTCCCCTTCTCCCCTTCTCTCATCCCCTCTCCCTCTCTCATCTCACTTATCCCTCTCTCTCCTCTCTCCCCCTCTCCTCCCTGTCATCTCTCAGATCTCCCATTCTTCTCTCCCTCTCCCCCGTTCTCTCTCCCATCCCTCTCTCCTTCTCCCCCTCTATCCTACCCTCCATATATCCCTCTCCTGTCATCCCATCCACTCCCTCAGTTGAAATGATCAGAAAAGGTTCTTAGCCTAGAAAAAAACACCAAAAAACAAAAGTTCAGTTTCAATGCAAACAATGTATTTGTTGCAAGGATTAAGTCCTTTACCTTCTTTGCAGAAGACATTTGTTCATTCCCCTCTGCTTCCTTCTTTCCATTCTCCCCCCTCTCTATCATTCTCCCTAATTCCCCTCCCCCTTTCACTCCCCTTCTCCCCTCCCTCCCTTCCTTTCTGCCGAATATGTGAGCTGTAATTATAGGACTCTTATGTTCTAAAGACAAGAGATCCTTTCTCACAGAAGGAAGATTTTATCATAAAAATACTATATATTTAATAGAAATATCTTGTTTCTGAGCCACCCCTCAAAACTTTTATAAGCAGATGAAGTGCTGAATGTAAGGCTCCACCATATGCTCTATTGAAAGTTGATATATGACAAAGTTTTACCCTGGGCAATCAAGATGAACTTTGTGGTGAATCCTGAAAAGGGGGGGAGCAGCTATGGACAAATATCTGTGATGATCCCAACCTTGTGAACAAAATAGACTAATTATCAAGCCTGCATTGGCCACAGCACAGAAACATAGACGGGCAGGTGGAGGGATCTAGTTATGTTTGTCTGAGGGTGGTTGGCAGTGTTTTTTTTACTGAGTACCACAGTATCTCTTTGGGTAAATGATTCTTCGCCTTGCTTGCAAATTACATGAGTTTGATTTCCACGAATAGCAAAGGTTTTCTTTTAATTTTTGTAGTGCTCAACTTTCAAAGTGTTGAACTTCCTCAAAATTTCAGCTTTTGAAATATTGAACTTTCAAAATAATTCACCTGTTGTAGTAGCTAACTTTCAAAATGCTCATCTTTTTTAAACACAACTTTCAAAATTCACAACTTTTTAAATGCTTAACTTTTGTTACTATTAACTTTCATAATGCTCAATTTTTATTATATTAACTTTTGAAATGTTCTGCTGTTGTAAAATTATGTTCAACATTTTGTAATAGTAACTAAGTTTATTCAGTGTTTAAGGCCATTGGCCCACGTCACATAATGTAGGTACCAGAAACTAAATTTTCAAAGTAGCTGTATGCAAATTTATCTGTTCCATATGAATGGCCTATATCTCCTGAGAATTTCGGTACCTTTCTTTAACCTCTCATTCAATTTGTAAGAAAATGGTAGCTGTTTAAAATTTGATTAAATTTGTTAAAATCGCTCACTGGCTGCAACCCCATGTTTGACAGATAATAATTGAGCACCAAGTTCACCAAACATCTCCACATGAACAGTGTACAATCACTATAACATAGATATGGAGCCTAATTTTTTTCAAGACTGTAAGATCATTACAAATCAGTATTTTATCGCCTCAAACACGATTATCTGTCGTTATTTCGACAAAAACACCGAGCGTTGACCCAGCTGGCACCCCATCAGTCCCTGCAGTGAGCAAATTGGCTCTATACTGTAGTGTACCAAGTACTCCCTACGTGGGGGGGGGTCACATCTGCCGTCGTAAGGGAAAACGACGAATGGTCCTAAGCAAGTAGCAAGGCAAATTTTTCAGGAGAGGCAAAACTTGTTTTAACTCTATAACTCTTCCATTTTTCATTCTTTTAAGTTTTAATTCACCAGATATCTGATTGAGGTGTGCATAAAGCAGTTTCTAAAGTTTTAATGGTTGAGGTTAAAAAGTAGCAAAGTTATTCGACATTCGTCGTTCTCCCTTTGCTTGCGCACCCGCAGGTGAGTCTTGCAATGTAAGTGAAAACGACGAATGGTACGGTTCGTCGTTCTCGTTTACACTCGTGAATGTTTATGGGCGTCGGGGAAGGTCAGTTGTGACGCATTATTGACAGTAATGACTATGTACTGGTTATTACAAATAAAAATAATACGCATACAAACTAGCTATTATATGTATAAAGTTAGGTGTTTGTTATATCCCAACTGTAACTCGGTAAATGTCCTTCGTTTCCCTTCCTCGCTTGGTTAAATACTACACAGTCAGTGTACAAATCAGATGTGCACACATTTTCAACAGCTTGATATAAAACTGTCTCATTCGGAACCAAAGTTTGGTCTCCATGATATCTGTTTATTGTATTCTCTTCAGAAGCGAGGTTTACTTCTATTTTCGCTAATTGCAAAGTTTTCCCTGTACGACCAAAGGGGTCAACAATGTTACAATGTTCAGATCATTGCAAAGTCCAACTTTCACGTACAAAATGTAACAATCTGACAAGACTGTATCACAAACGCTTTTGGGAGAGGTAATGCGAAGCTTTGTATTTAGTTAAGGATTCAGTTGATCGGATCGGAAAACATACCAAAAAGTAGAGATCGACATGGGCAGTTTGAATCTGCAAGACATTATTATACTCGATTGTAAGTAACGTCCATCAAGTCATAAAGATATCGTAAATCAAGTCTCAGTGTCGCCACAATACGTCCACTCTTTAAGTTGGACAAAGAAATTGACTCTCATAACGCAGTGTCATTAATTGCTTGGTAATTCTATAATGATGTCGACCAGTGACATGTGCTAGACAAATTGCGGCACTATAACCATCGTTGGGGTTTGGGATGTCAAATGACTGGACAGCAAACTAACATGACGTTAGTCTGTGAACATCTGGCAGACACTAATAAGCAGTGCTAATAAATTTCTCCCAAAATACTTTTTTTGACCCTCCCATCCCCACCCCTTTCCCCCTATTCCCGTCCGTTTTCCCCTCTCTCCCGCCTGCTCTTGTCAATTCACGCCATCAGCATAGGCCTAATACGTGAAGACAGAAAGACACACTAAGTAATACATTTTTACAAACCTGGTCGACGGTACTCCGGGGGAGGGGTGGTGGTGCATTTGTTTGCAAAAAACCTAGTATGTTTGTACTGACGCAACAGTGACCAATTGTCATTCGTCGCCCATGCCATAATTTGCCCAAGGGGACAACGCCGAACGAGCAGTGATCCTTGACCGATGGACCATTCGTCGTTCTCCCTTACACTGAGCTCTGGCTCGGAGCTCGCCAGTGTACGGGAAAACGACGAACTCTCAATTACGCAACAACAGATTAGGATATGACAAAAATTTTTACACCATCAGATGCAGAATTAAATACTCTATGAAATATAAATATATAAAAATTAAAAAATAGAAAAATTTTGACCTCGTCGTTTTCCCTTACGACGGCAGACATGCTTTCCGAGTTTCGCGGAAGGATTGATAAAAAATAATTCTAAGCCGATTACTTTATTCTAATAGGAAATGAACTGATCTTTCTATTGGTTCCTTTTTTGAGCCAGTATTTTACCTATTTAGTGTAAAAAATGATCTTTGAAAACTTTGATTGTATTTTTAAAGGCTTTCTATTTAAAGGCCAATGGCCAAAAATATACCACAGGAAAGCCCGTCCAAAGCTCTACAGTTCTCCGCCAATGGAAAGACGGTATTTAATCATCAGTCTTTCCGCGAAGCATTTGAATGCACGCTTGTCAATTTTAAAACCGGCTGACCACATGTTCTGACAGTGAGAGGCTTTGCTTTCCTTGGCGATTCTCCAGCTCCTAATATAAACAACTTACACCATTGTAACGAGGAAAAGCTGAACTTTTACAAGGTGTACTGCATTTGGGAAAGAGCACAGAAACAGTGATCTGAATTACCCCGATTTCACCGATACCATGCACTCGGAAGGCCGTGAGTGCCCGCGAGGCCATGTTTATGCTACCTACATCATGTGAAACACCCATTTGTTAAATAAAAACACTTTTTAATAATCAACTATTGAAATGTTCAATTTTCAAAAGGCTAAACTTACGTATTGTAAACTTTGCAAAATATTCAAATTTTGTATTGCTTTAAAAATCCTCTATTTTCAAATGGTCATATTTCAGAATGATGAACTTTTGTTTGCAAAACGATCAAATGTTGTAATGCTCAAGACGTTCTTTTTCAACTCTAGTTGTTTACTTATTTCTTTCTCTCTCTCCTCTCTCTCCCCCAGGAGGTCGCGATAGCCGTGGTAGCTTCAGCAGTGGGGGTGGTGGGGGGGACGGTGGAGGGATCTCCCCAGCCAGACTGGAGGTCCTGCTGCGGTCGTCTGACTCCAGCATCTTATGACTATAGGAGAAGAACACACCTCGGAGCCCCAGGCTGGCGCCGTACTAACGCGAGACTGTCATGGACTGGACCAGACTGGCACAGACTCTGACGGGCGTCGGTTTTGTAGAGTGCGACAGGCAGCATGTGTGTATGTACTGAATGTGTCAGTTGTTGTATGAAGGGGTTGATGCCACCTGCACATGATGGGGGGGCACATACTCTCACACACATACACACACCGCATACACATACGCTCACACATGCATAATGTACACCACACACATTATGTTGTCACATACATACATATATACTTGCAAACGTACACACATGCCCATACTAAGATATATGCCCATTCACACTCTCTCACACACACACACTCACAGAAGCATACATGCTCACGCACATAATATGTGCAAACATGTACACGCACGCCCACACAAACCTGCTAGTCCGTACACACTTGCACTCACTCACAGAAGATTATGTGCTCACACATACAGACATACACGATAGCATACACAGACGCATGCATACACCACTAGCCACTCTCTGTCAGTGCACAACAAAGGGGCACTCATTCTGAGATGTGTTCTTGATTTTGTCACAAACATCGTCACTTTGTCTTGAGCACTGACCATATAACTCGGGACTGGCTAATTGTCCCTTCACTTCAGATCTTGTTTCATCAGTGTTATTCCACAATCACCCCAATCAGTTTCTGAGAATTTCTAGATACAACAATTATTTGAAATAAGATATTAAGGGCCATCTTACAGTGTAGATTCATTTTGTTTGAAATATTTCCTTTTCTAGTTTTTAGTTTTAAAATGTTAAAGGACAAAGTCATGGTTCTGATTTTGGGCACTCTGCCTTTCATGAATTTTCTCAGTTACTGGGGAAAGTCTGTAGATGCATTGTTAGCTCTGTTAGCGTCACTCTCAGCTAAGATGATGATGACCCTGGTTCGAATCCCAATGGGACATTCTTGCGTTTGGGTTGTTTGGGCAGCTTTTTCATCGAGGCTCTCTGCCTATTTTGCTCAGTCGTACTGAGTGGGACTTGGGAGTTCAGAGGTCCCACCTCATGAGAAACTTGTGCAGTAGTGAAAGGAACATTCTGCTCATAGAAATACCAGTTTGCTTTGAAGTCTGTGATTTAGATGGTGAGTGCTCAAGTCCGCTGACATGTTTGTAAAGGGCTGGAATCTCATACTGCATTTTGTGAACACCTTTTTGTTGACAACAGGCTGCAGATCTTAATTTAATGAAATATTATGTGAGAAGTTTCATGCTCAATGTTTCTAAAACTTTATGTTTTTGAATGGCTGAATTTGAAAAGGAAGGATTTTGTTTTCAGAAGAGAATGTATGCACTTTTGTAAGTGTAGAAAGAGAGAAAATGATTGTGATGACTTTAAAGTTAACTACTCTTTTAAAGAAAGACTGCTTGTGTTGACAGGTTCAAGAAGTGGTCCCAAAGAGAGAATGTATTCATTCTACTGTGACTGTGACCATCAGATGTCACCGTTGTGATTATTTTCAAGATGTGATGTCCCTCTTTCATATGTGGGAGGGTGTGATGTCTCTTGTATGATTTGTGTGACCATGGCCTGTTTTATTATTATTTTTAAAACATTGTGTGACCATATTGTCCCTGTCATGATTTACAACTAAGAGATGTCCCAGATACTAAGGGATGTCCCCATCATGATTGTCCACTAACAGTTGTCCTTGTCATGATTTGTGTCTAAAACTAAAAGATGTCCCCATCATGATTGTCTACTAACAGATGTCCCCACTAACAGATGTCCCCATCATAATTTGTGACTAACAGATGTCCCCATCTTGGCCTGTCATGATTTGTGACTATGAGATGTCCTCTTTCTGATTTGTTATTTTGAGATGTTTCCTTTTATGATTTATGTGAAAACAAGATGTCGCAGACATTATTTGTGATCACTTGGTGCTAGATGATAAAAGTGAGTTTTCTATTAACTTTTTGAGGTTTATTAACCCTTAGAGCGCTGACTTCTTTCCCCTTATATTTTCCCTCTGTGCTGAATTTATTTAGGAAAAACGCAAGATTAGCACATACGCTTTTTTTTTGGTAATAACTTTTTTATTTGTCAAAATTTCTAATGAAAGTAAGAATAGATTTTAGAATATTGAAAGTTTTTTACGAATATGTGAAGCAAAAAGTATTTTGTTAAGTTATTGTTGTAGTAGTGGTGTTGGAAATGACTGAATAAAAACTGCCGGTTCATTAGTTCTCTAGATCTAGACCTGAGTCTAGATGCTTCGTAGGCCTACGTTATATTCCACAAAGTGTTAGCTCTAGCATCAAAACCCTCGAAATCATCTTCCGATTCAAGGAAAATACGCGGAACATCTTCATCTGAATCTGATGGGACTCTATTTTCATGTTCGTCGCGGGTCGCAATCGCGAATTTTCCAACTTCGCTGTCACTCGACTTCAACGTAAAACAAAAGACTCCTCATGTCTCGATTGAACCCCGTGACAAGAAAAATGGCGGGCGAAATCAATTCCGCATGACCTACCAGCCAGCAGTATAAAAATTAGTACTTTATTCTTGTCGTATATCGCGTTATACTATGCCAATGTCTATCGCGGTCGCAGTCAGCACTTTACGGAAGTTCGGGCCGTCGCTCAGCACTCTAAGGGTTAATTTTGTTTTGGACAAAAGACTCTTTGGATCAAAGTGTCACCTGCAGTTGCCATTTCCCCAACTCTGTCGCACTTGAGCTGATTAGTGTCAGCATTTATTCCCTCTGTGAACTCTACCACTTTTATCTGTGTATTGCGTTTTCCGAAAATATGTGTGTGTGTGTTTGAACAGGAAAGAGTTAAAGACCCGTAGAATCTATTCCGGTATGGAGGGACACTGTGTACCCAAGCGGGTGATTGCGAGGATGTATTTCTGTGACCAAGGGTGATTTAACTCGAGAATTATATCTACTCATTGTAAGTTTTCCGTCTTTTTTTTTTTGCTGTGATTTTCTTTTCTTCTACATTTCCTTTTGTCAGTTGTAGATTCTTTTAACAGCATCACATCTGATTTTTTAAAGAAAATAACCTATTTTTTGTCACCTATTTTTCCCTCATCTATCAGGTAGTCAGGCGCCATTTTAAAATATTTATTTGTACATAAAGCTCTTTCCTGGAACTTGCAAACCACTCTTAAATACCTGTGTCTGTCATTTCTTTTAAAACTTATTTTCATGTGTTCTTGTTCCACCTTTTCTGTTAATGTATTTCTCTTTTTCAGAAAGTGGGACAAACGTATCTCAAGTGCTTTACAAATGTCTTGCTTTAACTTATTAAAATTTCATCTTTGATTCTTTCTCTTCATACATGATAATATGCCAAAAGTATTTGTCTCATCCACGCTCATGAATTCCAAATGTTTCCATTTCTATGCTCTATAATTCTTCGTAAGGAGCCCAGGGCACAGAGGGAATGAATGAACTGTTCTGTCCAGCACATGTGTCATGTGATGTCGGCAGATGTCTGCTAGTTCGCCAGTCTCACGTCCGAGGCCACCTCTTATGTATCGTTCATAGCTAGCATAACATACATAATACATTCAGTCAGACATGCTCTCACATACACACATGCTCTCACACACATAGGCTCACAAATATGAATGTATATGATGACCTCTCTCTCTCTCTCTCTCTCTCTCTCTCTCTCTCTCCCTCTCCCTCCCTCCCTCCCTCCCTCCTTCCCTCCCTCTCTCTTGTACTAACACCTTCACGCATATGTATGTACACTCTCACGCATGGTTATTCACAGGATCTGGTTGATTGACATTCCTAATTCCTGTTCTCGAAATTCTGTGGGTTCTCCTGATGACAGTAAAAACATCCTGAAGATAAATTAACAAAGAACAACTGCTTTATTTTTGTACTTGAAATATTTCCAATTCACGATGGTTTTTTGACAATGAGTTCTCTCCCATGCAAGCTATTTCCCCATTACTTTTGTCACTTCCTCTCTGTTTTCTGGAATGCGCACTACATTGTTCTATAGCCAAGTAGCCAAGGTCATGTTTTACTAGGCTACAGAATAGAGACTTTGAACAAATCTGTTCTTACTTTTTAACATATTTGCTTGTGATTCACTTTAAACGAATTTGCATGTGATTTACATAATCGACTGCCACTGCCACTGTCCAGGGACCATGGGCTTCTGATTTTTTTGGTCAGGTCAGCATGAATGAGGTCACATACAATTGTTACAACATTAGAAAAATAATTACTAATAGAAGGGGTTAGAGAAAAAAAGGTTCAGAGCGCATTATGCTAAAAGTAGAGTTCTTTATATATGGTAACATTTGTTAGGGAGACAACGTAACATAAGAGTCGAATAAAATGACGTAATGGCTTTAAATCAGAGTTATAGCCTTATCAAATTACCCAAACTCAGTAGTATATCATCCGTTAGTCCAGCTGTTTGTTGCAGATTTCTTGTGACTAAGATCCTTTATTTTGTCTTACCTCTTCAATTGTTGTACCTGTAAATGCTTCTGTCAGAGGTTTTGTGAATGTAGTAGAGCAAATGTATCGTGTGATTATGTCTGAGAATTTTCAGCTGGGACTGGTGACCATGCAGTGAGATGATGTGACCTTCTTTCTTTTGACTCTCATTTTTTAGAATACATTTTTTTACTGTGTGTCCTTGGGAGTGTCTTGCTATGCTCACAGCGGTGACATTAGCCTAGTTTTAGACAACACCATGGAACTTTTTATATTCAAATGCATGAGGAAACTTGTTTCATTTCTTTTGATTATCTTTTAAATTGCTTCATAAGTTTTTTGTATCTTTTCTGTTAATGAATTCCTATAATTTTGTATTATTTTGTACAGGGCTGCTGCTTCACTCTAACAAATAGGTTGTGTTGTGATTTTCACTGATCCTAGTCATACTAACTGGCATTATTTCTTGTGTTTCATGTTGGCATTTATATAGATATGCTTTTGTACAATGAAGTCTAGGAGAAAAGGATTCATGGTTTTTAAAGGCTTAATCCTGAGACTGTTTGAGTCTTACTGAAAGAAAAACAACAAAAACAACTGATGACCTAGATGTATCATGAAAACGGATTAAAACAGTTTTTGGTTCAGGTGTTCAAAGGGAAATTGTTGTTGTTTGATGACATGAATAAGGTCATAAAGTTGAGGGTCTGCAGTCATCTGAGTTGGTATCATTTAGTGTGTATGACCCTGATTCAAATCTTCAGTGGGGCACTCTTGGACTTGGTTCGTTCAGGGTGTTTTTAAAGCTGTCCATGTGCTTATGTCAGTCCTAGTGCAAATGAATATTAAACTCTGAGATATCACCCTTTAACCCTATCCGTACGACATGTTTTACTATCGTATCCATATGACGTGGGGAACTCTGTGCCTCCACTTTCCAAAGTGGAAATTTACTCGTTAATCCGATCCGTATGCTTTGAAAAAAAGTCAGTGAAAATGATTTTTTTGAGAAATACTGAAATTAAAAAAAAATAATGTTAAAAATACAACCGCGGGTCTACAAAAAGACCTCAGGGTGTATGGATAGGGTCAAGTAGCTTCACTCATTGTTGAAAGAGGTGTCAAGTCCATCGTATCACCATAAAGGTGAACTGAGACATTTTAAGAGGAAAGCAGCTGACTATGCTCTTCAGATATTAAAAGGTATGGAAATGATTGTTCGCATCTGCTGGTGTCAATAATATGATGGTTAGATAATGGTGTCCCCCACCCTCAGAGGAGGAGAGAGTGTGGTGGGTAGGGGGTGGGGGGAGGGGGGGGGGGAGTTGCTTTGACAAAAGAAATTGAAAATTTCTCATAGTGTCCTGTGACATAATGCACATTGCACCAGTATTGTGGAATCAGTATTTTGTGGGGGTTTTCTCTTTTGCTTTCAGAAATATTTTTCCCATTTTCTAGCTTTTGTATTGACAAAAATTTTCATTGACTGTGGTAACCGGCAGTTTTCAATTTGTGCTTTTACTTTGTATATGATCATTAATAACATTTTGGAACTTTTTTGCTCATCGAATGATTTCATGTAAAAGACTTTGAATTGTCTTCCAACTCATAAAAGGAAATTGTGCTGCTAATGACCTGTGAAACGAACGTTTAATAAAGTTAAAGTGACTATTTCTCAGTTTGCTTGTGTTTGAGAAAAATATGTATGTTCGTGAATTTTTATTGTTATATATCTGTTGTAGTTTTTTAATGTTTGAGGAGTGGGGTGCATGGTTGGTGGTTGTCCTGCTCTGATTTGCTTTTTCTTTTCTTTCAAACGTCTATCATCCTTATCTCTCCTTTTTCTTATCTTTGTATGTTACTCTCCTTTTTTGTTTGTTTGTTTAGTATAGGGTTTTACGGCGCTCGCAACTGCATAAGGTCATATGGGCGCGCGGGACACACCTAATACTTTTTCGTTGGTAGGAAATTTTGAATTTTGCCCGGGTGGCGGCCGAAGCCTACTCTTATCGATTTTAGACCATCAAGGGATCTTTAACGTGCGCAACTTGCACATGGGCCCTCCGAGATTTTTCGCCCTTGTCCGAGAAGGCTAGGTGTAGATCTTTCCTACCAGAAGATCAGGGGTGTGGTAGAAAGACAGCTGTAAGAAGGAGTCAAGGAGTAACAGTAGAAAGGCTGCAGAAAGAGTCAGGAGCCCAGAGGAGGGGGCGAGGGAGGTGAGGGGATGGGGGCAGAAAGAGGAGACGAAAGCAGACGACAGAATATTGCTAGAGAGTAAGAAAGGAGGTGAAAGGAGACAATTTTAGAGAAGAAAATTTTTCGGTCGCTACCCGGATTCGAACCCGGGACCTTTGAATGAGAGACCAACACCTTAACCTCTAGGCCACGAGAGCCCCCTGTTACTATCCAGTAACACCTCTAATCTTTGGCTTTGATATGACCTATTTGTGATGCAAATGCTGTAAAATTTAAACTGAAACTAAAATAAAAAGAAATGGATGGATGGTTGGAGGGTGCCACTGGTAGATCTAATACTTCTTTACTTTCCCTCTGTTGTATCTGTCTGTCTCGCTTTGTCAGCGCTAAATGCCAGTTATCACATGGATGTGCTTCTCTTAACTTTAAAGTAAAAGTGTTGGATCAAGTGCATTGTTTTCACTCAAAGTAAAAGTGTCGGATAGAGTGCATTGCCATGTCAATGTGTGGACAGGTGTGTTTGTTTAAATAGTTTATTGGAGTGTCAGAAGTGTTGAGACGCACAAATGAAACCTGCTGATTCAAACATTCTTTTACCTACCATGACGAAGTTAAATTTTATTTAAAAAAAAAAAAAAAAAAAAAAAAAGGCAGTATGTCCTGGATGGGGTGAAATTCCTGTGTCTACCTAAAAGGTGGGTCAGAGAGACGGGTTAAATTATATGTACATGCACGCACCTCTTAAGTATTTCATAATAGTGGGTGGTTGGCGGGTGCTGTGGTGTGGTTTGCTTCTTCTTTCCTATCAAACATCTATCATCCTTATATTCCCTTTTTCTTTTTTATGTTTGTTACTCTCTTGTAACACCTCTAATCTTCTGGCGCTCATGTGACCTTATGCGGTTGCGAGCGCCGTAAAGCCTCTACTAAAACTAAAAATTTCATAATATACTATTATATGTTATATTAGTACATGCATACATATTATGTATATCGGAAGGGTAGAAGAAATGCTGTGGGAAAAAATAGGCTTAAGTAGAAATATTGGGTTGTAGGTGTTTGAGAGAGGTTAGTTTATTAGTTTAGGCGACCTGAAGTCAGTTACTTTGAGGGGGGGGGGGGGTTGAGAGGTTGTGCCTTCTTTTACGGCTGATGAAAAATATAATTGTCCGTGGTGGCATCGAGGCTGGAATCATGCGTATACATGTGTTTGTGTGTGGGTGTGTGTACATGTGCGTCTATGTGTGTGCGTGTGTGTGAGGGATAAATGAGGGAGGGGGTCATATGTATGTGTGTTTGTGTGATTGGTCGTTTATAGGACACCGTAGCCTCCACTTACCTTTCATGCAGATTCCTGATAAGCAAATACACGCACTCACATACACACCTGGACAAGTACTACCCCTACATACATCATAGTTTTGAGAAATGTTAAGTGGAAAAGAAACCAAAGGATTTATTCATACAAGTCTTCTTAACTCACACCCAGCGATTCTTTCCTTTAATGTAGATATAGTTTACTGGTTCATCTACACCATATTATGACAAAGTGGCATTTCTTTAAAGAATGCCCTAATCGATGAGTCAGTTTAATTTTGACCTAAGCCTGACTTGCATCATCATTATAATTTATAATTCTGTCGATGACGACACCACATAAGTCGCTGACTGACATCTTGAGAAGTGGTTGGAGTGCGCCTCTTGATCTTGTGTGTCCTACTTCTGACCTTCTTACAAGTCACTTCTGGGTGTCTGTCTTTCCTTTTCCACGCACTAAATGGCCGTGAGTGGTTGGCGGGTGCTCTGGTGTGGTTTGCTCTTTCTTCTTTCTTATCAAACGATTATCGTCCTTTTCTCTCCTCCTTCTTTTGTGTGTATGTTACTCTCTTGTAACACATCTATTCTTCGGCACTCATATGACCTTATTGTGTTGCAAGTGCCGTAAAACTATCACTAAAACTAAAAACTAAATGGCCGTTATGTGGTTGATTATGTTTCTCTTTCCTAAATAGAGAAGAAATAAGCCGCGCATTTCATGTGTTTGAGAAGAGTCTTGAGAAAGAGAGGTTAGTATAGTAGTCATAAATATATGAGGTCGTGGCAACTGTTAGAATGTTACTGTTGCAGAGCGGGAGTGTGAAGGGCGTTACTGGGACATGTAGGTCTACTTTTTTTTTACTTTCCTTGTTTTGTTTCTTTCCGTTTTGTTTTTCCCTAGAAATAAATGACTGTCATTGTATCTATGTGCTTATATATTTAACCCCCCCCCAAAAAAAAAAACAAAAAAAA